AAAAAAAAAATCCCAAATCCTCATTCTTGCCTGGAGCCTGGCTTTGAAACCTCTGAGCCAGCTGTGGAAAATCAGTGGTGGTGAAGAAGGATCCTCCAGTGACATGGAGGTGATTTAACAGCCCTGGAGCTTGGCAAGAGAGTAAACAACACATGGCACATGTGGGTTTGGTGTCTAGGGCTCTGCTCTGCTGCTGTGATTTATCTGAGGATGACACAGAAACCTGTGCAAAACACGATACAAGGAAGACAGATTCTCATCTCTCTGGTGGCTCCTTGCACTCATCAATTCCTTAGTATTTTTACATTGATGGCAGCTAAAGAAAGTTAAAATAACCTTAAATCAGGGGAGAGACACAGGATGTCATTTCAATCTTATTACATACCTTGACACTGCCTTTAACCCTGCATTTTAACATGTGGTCCTTGGGAATCATAATTTTGCATGCTTGAAAATCTGGGAAAAAAGTTGTTATTTCTACCTCTACAGATGCATCATCTTATGCCTCCCACTTTGGGAAAATTTCCAGTTTACAGATTTCTTCCTTCAAGAGAAATATTTTCTTTAATCAGAAGCACAGAAATGTGAAATTAGTGTGGATTTTTTTTTTGCTTATTTGAGGCATCTGTCAGGTTTTTAGACATCTTTCAGGCTGGCTTATAGGATCAAGTGGCAAAAGTACAGTTTCTGTTTAGGATTGTGCTGTTCTAAAAGGAAAGCATTTTCTTAAAAGTGTCTATGTATGTACAAAGTCTTTGTTGGTGGTATTCTGATTTTGTGCTCTCTCTAAACATTGGGACATTTCTAACTGGGGCTGATGCTCAGAGCACAGCCCACACACCAAAGCACGAGTGTGCTGTGACTGCATTTTCAGTCTCTTATTGGATGTCCCATATTCTTTCTAAAGGAATATCTGGGTCCACAAACACGAGGAATACATTTACTATGAGGACTGTGATTAGTGTAGTTAAAATACTCTCCCAATGATGTACAAAAGGCTTCCCAAACAGCTACTCTTGCTGCTCCTGTTTGCAGGGTGTGTGTTCCTCCTCCAGCACCAAGTTCAGGCCAAACCAGAAACACTTTTGATTCCCGTCCTTCCCAATGTGCCTCTCTCAGGCAGAGCTGGAATTACAACATCAAATGACTGGATATCACTTGTCAACATGCAGCTGCAATAAACCAGCAGTGCTAATTTTCCTTTCAGAGCTTTATTGTCTGTTCAAGGCAGGAGGGTTTTAATATTTCTTTGCTGGGCAGGGAGTGAGGGTCTCACTGCATAATCACTGCACTGGGAGAGGCAGATTTCAGGGCAATTCATTAAGGAGAAACAAGGAAATATGGTTTACAACTATCTAGAAACTCCAGGCTTTTCTGTTGGGCCTTCTGTGACCATCTTTTTAAATAAAGCTTGTACTTCTTGCCAGTATTTTTGGGCCAATGACTTGCACACTGTGGGTGTTTGGAGAGTGAAAATGGCCAGTCTACCTCAAGCACAGAGTGTAACTTTGTAAATAACAACAAACAGGGAGCATTTAGCACAAAATACTGACTTCTGCAAACAAGAAGTGATGGTTAAGTGTGGATTAGAAGCAAAATTCAAAATGAGGTGGTCATAGTAAGAACAGGTCTTCCAACTGTCCTCACAATCTGCTGGTTGCTCGGCCATGTGCTGTGTTACTCTCTCCCATAGAGGACCTGTGATCTCTTTTGTAAAGCTCCTTTCTTGGAGACCCTGAGTCCTTGCTGTAAAAATCCCTTCCCCAGTGGAAGGGAGACACCCCTGTATTTGTCATCCAATATGAAAAATATTACAGTTCCTCAGTAAGTGGATTTGTTATCTAACCATAAAAACCATACTGTTCTTAAGTGAGTGGAAGCTGAAAATTGAAGTGTAACTTCGGAGTATTCCTCTCTTGTCAACAAGTCAGTGCCAGGTAATGGACAGATACCAATCCAGGAGAGCCAGGCTTTCTCCTTATATTGCCATGGAATACAAAGCAATTAATATTTCTGCCAAAATTTTTTTCTCTTCCCTCCTTTTGTTTTATCTGGACACCTGTAATGTGGAAGGACAAGGCCAGTTACTTTGTGCAGGATCCAGCATGACAAAGCTTCAGTCTCAGCTGGGTTTTTTAAGCAGAGGAAAGTTTGTAGCAAATTTGCAACTAATTAAAAATAAAGCTCTGATGCTGAAAACCTGTAAAGATCAGATGCTTGGAGAGCTGCTTCTGTTGAACCACAAAACTAAGATTAGTTGCTAATGAAGAAAAAAACAATTGCTGAAAGACGAATCCTTATTTTAGAGAGAGGAATAAAGGAATTAACATATTTGCAGCTAAACCCAGCAACTAAAAGATAAGGAACTTAGAACTAAAGAGCCCACAGAAAAAAAATATCATAAAGCACTATTTGCATTAAGAGTAGAGAACAATCATGGGGCTTTGGCTGGAATGTCCTTCAGCAAATTATCTTCACACAGGTCCTTGAAGATTGTAGGGGTCATGATGTCATGTAAGGTAATTTTTAAAAAAGTCTGAGGTGTTTCAGGAAGTTCTAGCAAGATATGTATTAAGTCTTGGAGCTAAAATCCCCGTTGACAGAAATGCTGTCAAAGCCAGCTCAATTGCTTTCTCCTGCCAGCTCAGAGTTGGAGGCCAAGTTTTCAAAGCACCTGAGGACAGAGACTCTGTGCAAGACTCCCAGAGGTGTCCACCTCTCCTTGAAGGATGCTCTGCATAAAGGCATCTGGCCATCCACTGCACTTTTAGGTGCTTGAACAAACAGCTGCATTTCTCCCCCTACCCTTCTCTGAGAAGTTTCTCAGCATGGCTGTTTGTACCAGCTTGATGGGATCCCCTCCAAAAACTAAAGCATCATTTCTCTTCATTTGATAGGGGCAGGCTGGGACTAGACTCTGGATGTTTGCCATGAAGGTCCAGAGGAATGAATTCTAATGTGTTATTCTCTCCACTAAATAAAAATCAGAACTGGGAGGTGGGAGTTGGGAGAAGCTGCTTTAAACAAAACATGAAGTCAGTAGTTACAGTGCAAATGAACAATTTGGAGTTTTCAAGAGACATCCTGTATGAACAGGAGGATGAGAAACTGTCAGGCTTGAAGGGAAGTGAATCCATTTATTAGGCAGATTCCAGCCTAATAAATTAAAAGGTGATAAATGTATTCTTGGTATAACAGATGATTTCAAGCCACCATAAAATAAATTGATGGCAGAAAGATACTGAACAGGATATTACTTATTAGAGGAGAAGAACAAAGAACTGAGGTGAGGTTCTGGAGACCTGAGAACATCCTTCCCTTCTGCACAGCTGCAGTCATTAAAACATGAAGTGCATGTGGAAAACTGCAGGGATACATGGGGTGTGCCCTTGGGGAAAGGGAGGTGGGAACCTCTTCAGCACTGTCAGGAAACATCCACACTGAGAAAAAAATACAGTGAATGAAGATAAAGATCTGGGGATCAAACTTTGCTGTGCTCTGAAGAAAAGAGGGGGCAACTACAGCATGTTTCCCTCACTGCCTGCTGTCACAGACCCACATGGTTTCTGGCAGTGTTGGAGAAGAGACTGAGGATGGGTGGCTGACGCTGGTGCTTTGATCACTGACACTTCTCAAGGGGATGCTGTGCTGTGCAGAAGTCTCGGTGCAGAGCCATTCCCTCTGTCTCAGACTTCCTGGCATCACGTTCTCACTCCAGAGACCAACTCCCAGCAAAGCTGCCACACCCAGGCTGAAACCCTTGTCTTTCTGCATGTCCCAAACCTGGGACAGCCAAGAGAACTGCTGTGAGGTACTTACACCCCACCCTGTTTCTTCCCCTGGGTGAGCTGAGGCAGCAGTTCCCCTGGTGCAGGTGAAGTTGTGGGTGTGCTCTGGGGAGTTGTGCTGGGGGTCAGTGGGAGCTTGTGTTCCTGTCCTGGAGAACTGCATTAGACTGGCTGAGCTGGGACACCATTCTGCTAAAAAGACAGGATTTACCTACAGGCTCCCTAGCAATGGAAAGAGTGTTTTATTCTTGCTGTGTACAGAGAGATTTCCTTGTTTATGAGTAGTTTATTCAACGTTCCAGTGCAGCTCCCAGTGACACACAGCTGGCAGTCAGCTGGGCTGGCACTGCTGCTCCCTGAGCTCTCCCAAATCCCCAGGGACAGCATTCAAAGGGAACACTCCAGGGCCTGCTGGTTCCAGGATGGTCATTCCTTCACCTTTCCCTTTAGGAGGTGTCTGTCCCTGTGGTGGGAAATCCCAGGTGGGATTTCATGCACAGAGCAGAGCCACAGCAGGAATGATTCTGTTCCTTCCTCATTTTGTGAAAGAACTCTGGTCACTGGAATAATTCTGTAGGATCTCCAGAGGTACTAAGACAGGAATCTTAATGCTGGATTTGAAAGCACTGTCTTTATATTTCCTAGTTTTGGTGTTTTTCATTCAGGTCTGTAAATGAACCTTTTACATATCTCTGGACATTCCTTGTGCTCTTGGATATAAGAGTGAATATCATTAAATGGGTTTATCATACAGATTTAATATTTGAATACATAACTATACAGTTTGGATAATAACTATCTTTCTATAATACCTGATATGTATTGGCAACTTGGATAACTCTTTTTGCTTTTACCTATGTCTACAATCAATTCCTTCAGAGACAAATCCCAGAAGTGCTAGGAAGGAGGTAGAGGAGGTACCAATATGAAGGAAAGGAAGGCAGTTTGGGTAGAAACATTTTTCTGCCCTTTTATTTATCCGACACTTTTAGGCCCTCTTCATTCAAGTATTTGAAACAGTGACTGAGGTTCATGACTGCTGATTAATAATGATTTATATTTACTGTCAATACTTTCTAGAGATAAACTTGACTTAACCAACCAAACATAGCTGATCAAAACCTAGAAACACTTGGCGAAGAAAATCCTGTGTTTCTCTCAGAAACAAACATCTAAAGCAACAAAGCCAACAGCAAAGTTTATTTCTGATCAGAAAGGTGTGTTAAATGCTGAGCCTGCCAGTGGCTGAAGTCACAAAGCTCCATTCCTGCCGGGACTTTGCTCCTGTGACTTCACCCCTTTGTCCTGGACAAGAGCAGGATTCTCCAGGCACGGCCCTCTCATTGTGGAAAGAGCTGCAGTTCTGCTTCTGGGCCTTTGCTCTTGCTCAGGAAATTCAGTGTTGGGGGAGTAAGCAGGTTCAATCCCTGGCTTACATGAATTCTCTATAGCTGAGGAGTCCACTGAGAAGTCGTCCTGTCGTACCTCCCAAAAGCCTGGGACAGCTCCACTCTCTTTCCATAGTCACTATAAGATTGAACCATGGCCACAGTTTGGTTTGGTTATTTTCCTGGCCAATGCCTACCTGGCATTTTGTTAATATTATCTTCTTTGTCAGTAGAACATTTCACAGTCTGAGCCCTACAGTAATTAAAGAGAAGAGCCCTGGTGGAGAGGCCCAGAATGTCGGGCCTGATGAGCTGTATCAGTAAGGCCAAAGTAAAAAAACACATAGTCTACAAACTTAATTTTAAGAGATATAAGTGCCCATTTGGAAGTGAGTGCAATACTCAGCCTGCTCTGAACTGTTTGCTACAACATTTCTATTACAGAGCTCCATAACCTGAAGCCAGTGCAGTAAAAGCTGTCCTGCCATGGAGGAGTGGGAGGGAGAGTGGCAGGGAAAAATCCGAGTTAGGGGCCAAGGATCATGAAAGCAGAGAATAGGTAGGAAATAATGGTTTTCATGTATGAATTCCAAACTAAGCACAGACTGGCTACATATATAATGAAGTGCTATGAAATGTCATTTTGTGCATCATGTAAACCCAACATTACTCTCAACATCATTTTTGGAGTATTGACCTAAGCACACCGTGAGTATTTTCTCACCAAGTCTTCAGGCAGTTCACTAACAAATGAGGAGGCTGCCACATGTAGCATTTACACTTTGCTGTTATTTTTGTACTGCTATTATGTGTTTTCCATGACTTAGGTGGTGCCAGTTTTTCATCTAGTAGGTAGCCAGAGGCTGAACAATTTTAATCAGCAGCTGCTAATTTTGCACTCACTCTTCAGCCCAATTTTAACAGGTTTTTTGAGGAGTAACCAGGCAGTCTGAGAGACAACACTTGGCACTGACTTGGTTTTGCACTGTCTTCACTTTTACCAACCAAACTCTGCTCCCAGTTACCAAAGGTTTCTTAGGGGTAGATCCTACAAATACCTGGTGTTGACAGAAGCTGGTCTTGACTCACTAATTTCTCCAAGTTGGTAGGTTGTGACAGCAAGTATTTAAAATCTTATTATTTCTAGTATGCGAATGATAGTAGCTCTCTCACTTTGTTGTTCTTTTATGCACAGTCCCAAGTAAATAAGGGAACTTCTTGTCTGTTCTTTCTTTAAACCTTACACATAATCTTATGTTTTCTCATCCGTTATGGGCATCTTTGATTGAACATGGTTACAAAGTCAGTCTAGTTACAACATGGCTTTTCTTGAGCTGCAGCACTTGCTCCAAGAGGGATCTTGAGGATTTTAATTGGTGTGTGTCTATTTTTGTCATTATTTCTTCCATCTAAGACATTGAACATGCTACTCTGTTTCCCTGCATTCACATGGTTTTCTGCCAAAATAGGACCAGTGACACAAGGATAATTGGCTCCTTCAATGCTGTATTTCCTTTTCAAAAAGCCTTCATGTAATAACTACAAAAGGCAGTCATAAAAAGGAGAGTAGAAGCAAGTCAGATGTCAGGAATTGTTTTATTTCAGTGACTGGAAGTAATTTTTAGCCACATTTTTTTCACTAGTGGGTGCCAAAATGATATAAATTTTGATTGATGTCAGTGTGCTCCATTTGTAAATCAGTTTTAGCAGCTATGTGCTAATCTGTTGTTATGGGAGAAAATGCTGAAAAAGAGCATTTTAATTTTTTTAAAAATGAAATATTTAAGTACTTGTACCTGACACAAAATTTATGGTCCTCAATTTCAGACAATTCTGTAATTTCTATGAATTCTGTCTTTATAAATATTACAAGGTTAAGCACATTTCTGTTAACTCAGTTGTTTCCTTAGTCAGGAAGCTATTTCCTTTTTAATGGGTTGATGTGTATCTGGTAGAGGACTTTTAAAAATTATATTCCTACAGCTGTATATGACTGCAAGGCATGCCATTAGTGCAGTATAAAAAAACATAAGAAAAGAAGATTACTTACGGAGATTGGAATAATTACTGCCTATTCCAATACCAGTGGAGCTTCCAGAGATGAGAGGAAGGTGGAAGAAAAGAACTAGGGAAGGAAAAAATAAGAGAAAAGTCCTTCATAGCAGTTTGGGGTTTTTTTGCAACCAGATGTCTGTTGAAGACACGCTGCGTTAATGTGTCCCTGCTCTCTCTGGGCAGGATTGCACATTTCAGATTCTGAGTGTACACAGAGATGTAGCTCAAACAGAGGGGAAACACCAAACCAGTCATTGCTTCCTACTCCAGGAATCACTCCAGTTCAGGAAATGGTGTGAATACCTCTTAGATTCAAAACCCCACATATAAACAACACTGTGTTATATAAATATGTTGATTATTGGTTTTAAGTCAATCACCAGTCCCTGAAACAGGCACCTACCACTGTTAAACCAAGTAATTCCCCTAATTTCTTTAAGTGCAGCTTAAATGCATCAGGTTGGTGTGTGTCGAACTGGGCTGGAATAAATTTATTGTAAAATTTGATACCAACCCTCCCCCTATGCATTCCAGCTTTAATATTTATAACTTGCACTTAAAAGATTTATACTTACAGGCAACAAAATGCACATGAGTAAAACGTGTCCGAAATAACAGAAATCTTTAGATTTCTCAGAAGATGGGCTCGTTTGCATTGCAAAGCTGAGTTCTGGCAGTGACTCGGGTGTGACCCAGCCCTTGTCCGGGGGCTGGGCTGTGGCACCCCGGCTGAGCCCTGTCCCCTGTCCTTGTGCCAGGGGGGTGCCCCTGTCCTTGTGTCCCGGCTCCTGCCCCTCCGGCGGCTCCGCCATCCCCGGCTCTGGGGCACGGCCGGGAAGGGGTTTCTCCCTTTTCGGGAGGGGTTCCCGACTAACAAACTTTCTGCGGCCGGGCAGGGTCCCGTGGGGTGCGAGACCTGCCCCGCCGGGCCCCGCAGCTCCCGCGGCTCCTCCTGCCTTACCCGGCTCGGCTCCTGCTTTACCCCAGCACGGTTCAGCCCCTTCCTTACCCCAGCACGGCCGCTGCCTTTCCCTGGCACGGTTCATTCCCCTCCTTTCTCCAGCTGGGTTCAGCCCCTGCCTTACTCCAGTCCTGTTCCTTCCTTTCTTACCCTACCCATGTTCAAACCTTTCCTTTACCCCAGTCAGGTTCATTCCCTTGCTTTCTCTATACCGGTTCATCCCCTTTTCTCACTCCAGTCCGTTTCATTCCCGTCCTCTCCCCATCCAGATTCATCCCCGTCTTTACTCTATCCCTATTCATTCTCTGCCTTTCCTCATCCCGGTTTATCCCCATCCTCCCCCATCCCCGTCTATCCCGTTATCCCCCCATCCCTGTGCATCCCCGTTCCCCCCATCCCCGTCCATGCCATCCCCACCCCATTCCTGTTCCCCCCATCCCAGTCCATGCCATCCCCACCCCCTCCCTGTCCGTGCCCCCCTCCCCGGCCCGTGTCCATGCCCTCCTTACCGCAGCCCGCCGCCGTGCCCGCTCTCTCCATGCGCCCCCGCCGCGCTCCCTGCCCGTGCCCTGCGCCCGCCGCGGCCGGAGCGGGGCCGTGCCGGGGGGGCCGGTCCGTGACCCCCGCCGGGCGGGCAGGGCCGGGCACGGGGGGGCTCGGGGCCGCACATGCCGGGGGGGCCCGGGGCGATCCCGCCGCGCATCCCGCCGTGTGCGGGCCCCGGGAGCGGGGAGCGGGGATGCTGCGGGGGTTTCGCCGCCCGGAAAAGGAGCCGTAGGCGGATAACGGCGCTGGAAAGCCGAGTCCAGCCCAGCACTCGGACTGAAAGGGAGGGACTGCCTGGAGCAAACCCGCGGGGATGGACGGGATCAGCTGGCAGTGCAGAGGCAGGGAATCCGTGGGGCTGGATAGGGATAGGGGAACAATGTAGTCTGGAGTCTAGCAAAGAGCGCTTTAAAATGGTAAGATCTGCTTGTTACCAGGGATCTTGGAAACGTTTCCCACTGTGGGTGATATATGCCCTAGTGCTAGAGAGAGAGGAAACAGGGCTGCAGCCGGTACCAAAGCCGAGGAGCTTCCATAATTGTGTGTTTACCTGTAAGAATAGGGTGTGAGCTTTTTGAGGTAAACAATGCAGTGGTGTGGTCTGTCAGCAGTTTGGGGTTTTTTAGGATCCGAGTTCCATTGGCAGTTTCTGTCTGTCGGGCACACGCTGGACCTGAAGGATCTCGCAGAGTGGCCGCGCTGATCCTGCTGGTGAGTGAGGGACGTGGAGGTGGAGCTTCACGAGTGTGGAGTGTGTACCCAGACCTCTTTGCTTCCCTAGCCCGAGGTGACTTTGTAGTCCAGAGAGCAAGTTCCCTCACGTGGGAACGGCTCTGAGCTGTTAACTTCTCTTTGGTTCAGTAGTGATGGATTCAGGGCTGTGCTGGACTTTGGGGTGGATGTAAAACTTGTGAACTCTCTGGTCTTTCTGTAAAAAGTTTCCTGCTGTCATTGATCACCTTTTTTTTAAATTTTTTTTCTTTTATTTTTAAGTCTAGGGAAGCATTAAGTGAGTACAAGGCAATTGAAATCAAGGTTTAGGGAATGTTACAGGTGTGTTTCCTCATGGCTCCTCTGGACAAAACTGTAGTACCCGAGTACCCTAAAAGGCCTTAAGATGCTGCTGCAGAAGTTATCTTCTGATTCACTTTTTCACCTCCTCAGAACATTCAACTCCTTGAAAGACCTTTTCATTGCAATTCTTTATTTAATAAATGGAAACTGCATGGCTTCATTTTAGGGCTCTTTGTTGTTTGGCCATGATATGAAGGTGTGAATCTGCATATGCAGCAGATAAGCTGATTTCCTGTATGCTGGATTTTGGATATGTGCCCTCTTGGCCTCATTCTGCATCTGAAGAATCATGTGCATGTGTAATGCTGCACTCAAGGATAATAAAATATATTCTCCACTTTAAATTTCAGGAATTTCTAATGTTTAGCCCTTCTGCAAATTTTGGTGATGACATCTTTCCCCACTGGCACCCTACATTTGCTCATGATACTGGTATTAACTTTAGTCCTGGCATAAAATCTTGGGGTTTTATATTTGACTGAAAACAAACTGTGGGAAATGTAGAGGTCTTAGTACCTAACTTTGGATGCAGGAGAACTGCTCAGAGTTTGGCAGATCTGCAGAAATCTCTCTCTCACTCTGGCTTTAGAGCCCTTTCTGTGATAGTCTTGTCCTTTTTCTGTTGGAGGAGTTGCAACTGCTTCTGAGACAGAACATTTGTTCTGGGTCAGAAAACACAATGGACACATGATCCATCAGAGCCTGCAGAAACATCATCCCAGTTATCAGAAACCTTTTGGACACTCACCAGTACTCGGTGTGCTCCTCTGGAATAGACCTGACTGTTGCAAACTTTGCTCACCCCACTGATTTCCAAATCTGCATCACATTCATATGGACGTGGGGTAGGTTTTTCCTTTGTGTTTTTTCGGCTTTTGGGGTTCCCCTTTTTCTCCTCAGTGGCACCTGACTGGCACTTGGATGTGGTGTGGGATTCAGGGCAGACTGTTATTTGCACACTCTGCAGTTCCTGCTGGCAGGGTGATGCTGTGGACAGATTACATCATTATTGGTTTCTTCTTGTGGCATCTGCTTTTCTGTTTTGATAAAATAAATTTGTATTAAAGAAAGTTCTCCACAAATAAATTATTTATACATTGGAGTTTGGTTATGGGCTGTATTTGGGAGAGCTGGAACAAAGATGACCACTATCCAGGATTATTGCTGCTTTTAGCTTAGCTTGACTTAGAACATCACAGAGCAAGAGAGACCAAGGTAATATCTGTCTCTGTGGTTTGTGGCCTGTGTGTCCTGTCTGAATTCTGCCCCTTCTCAAGAAAGTTCTTTCCTAATCTGTAGGAATGAGGAGTGTGCCCTGTGGAAATAAAGTACATTAGGTAAAGTTTGGAATGGTATTCCTTATGGATGGAACTGGACAGAGTTACTGTAGCCAGTGGGTGTTTCCCAATTTACTGACAAGAGAAAATGAGCAAGGAACCATTGCTGAAGACAGATAGTTCTATTCTTGGATGATTTTACATTTGCCCCAACCTTGGGACCTCATTATAAAGCTGCCATCGGTGCTGAAGTGACAGATCTCGGCTCAGCTCCCATCTCCTGTGGCTTCGTTCGGGATTCTTGGAGCTGAAGGGATGCTGCCGTGTGGTGGCTCTTGGTGACAGCCAATTTTTGTAAGGCAAAATAAATTCTATTGCTATAACAAGGTCTCCTTTCGACTGAGAATTTTTATGTATTCATAACAAGGCTTTGGGGATGCTGTTTTCACTTCCTTCTTTTTCTTTATGGAAAAGGTGGCAATGAAATCACAGTCATTTGGATTATACAATTAGTCATAGATAAAATGCCTCAGGATGAGCAAAATTGATTAATAAGTGTTTTTTATATGGAAAATCAAGTAGCAGTGATTTTCCTCAGTGCTGGCTGCTGAAGAAGTCCCATCACCAAATGGATTCAGATCTCTCTGTCTTCTTGTCACTTGGCCAGGGCTTGCCCAGCAGTGCCAGCAGAGCTGGGCATTCCCAGTGCTGGGACAGCTCATCACACCCGGGCTGAGGGAATTCCTTGCTGGGAGTTCCCACTGTGTGATGGACCAGGCTGAGTAAATCTGTGCTTGCTGCTGAAACGAAAGAGGTTAGGAAAAGAGGGTCTGGGATGTGATAGGAAGCACCTCGTGCTTTCACAGCTCCCTGAGTTCTGAAATGTAATAAACTGAATACCTTGAAAGAAGAGATTTCAAATTTTCTGAAAAAAACAACCAGACAGATATTTGCCAGATCCTAAAGATTTTTTGACTTTGAACATATTGTATAATTGCTAACAAAGGAAATTCCTCTGTACTGAAAGCTATTTTAATGAAAATAGTGGAATTAAAAATACATAAGATTACCGCCTAACATTTTTCAGCTAGCGTTTATAGGACAGGTAAATTTATTTGAACAATATTTTCTAGAGTTTTAAATCAAGTGTTTTACTTCTTTAGGCATAAAATCTGTCAAGAGGAAAAATAATTTTAAATTATTAATACAGATGAAGCATATTAGTAACAAATATTTTACAGCAGCATGAAAGCCCAAAGGCAGAAGTCGTGTTCTTTTACATGCTATGGAAAGGAATGAGACCTGGAATGAAGGGGCTCTTCATTCTGTTCCCATAGTTTCTATGTCAAAAAAGGATTCTGTAGGAATTTTATGTCCTGCCCAAATTCTCAGAGGCTGTTTTTCTGCTTTTAAAAGTTGACAACTGTCTTTTTCTGTGGAACAAAAGGTGCTCTCAGGCTCTGGGGCCAGAATTAATTTCTTGTTTATTCACCTCTTGCAGAGGTTTGAGGAGAATGGAGGGTTATGCTGTCATTGCCTGATGTATATATATATATTTTAATCTCTACATATGCCCTAAGAAATAGGGTCCAAGATTGTTATTGAAAATCCAGTTATATCTCCCCTGTCTGACTGTGGTTTCAATCTTCCTGATGCCAATTGAGTTAATTTTTAAGGAGGTAGAATGGCAAATTATATCTCAGTGTTCTTTTTCCTCTCATTCTGCGACTCCTTAATTCAATTTATAGTTAATTATGCAATTTATTTTGTGTTGAACTTTCAAGGACCTTAAAGCATCTTACAGTGAATATAGAGTCTCTCTGTTTATTTCCAAGAATCCTTGTATGAATTTGTTATAAATTCTAATGGGACATTTAGAGTTAAGGATGGCCAATGGATTACTAACAAATAATAATATCAATGTCCCTGGAGATACATAACTATAAATATACTGAAATATATAGAAAGAAATATTGAATTATGTAATAAAAAGCATTTAAAATTAGGTAACAGCAGTAATAATACTAAATCTGCATGTCAGAATACTACAAATCTGTAAGTTGTAGGTCCCCTCTTGTTGCCCTTGGTGCTAAAACTCCTGCCTTTGGATGATCAGATCCATTTGTACCCCATCAAATATGAATATTTTGTCATTTGCTCTCAGGAGGGTTTTTAAAAGAGGCTTTTGCTGGGGAGCCCTTGGGGAGGGAAGGGAGCCCTGCAGTGCTGTTAGTGCAGGCAAGGAGGCGAATCCAGCCAGGCTTTTGTTAACCAGACCAAAAATGCAAATGAGGAAAGGCCAGCATGGCACCAACCCCAAAAGAATACCTGTGACCCCAAATTGATTTTATCTTTCTGAAACCATTGTGTACTAGCAAGAAATACTTAGCTCACCTTGGTAAAGTACAAACCCTGTAATTCTTTGGTTTTTGTGTTTTACCAGTGAATACACAAGTCAGAGTCTCTCCACTTTATACTATTTTATTTATGAAGTGTTTGTGCATCTGCAGAACTTGTAGAAGATGATAAAAAATTTATAAATATGCAGAGGGGCAAAGTTCCTCACTGGAACTTTGAGCATTTCTCACAGCAGTAAGAAGAGATGCAGACTGGGGATCAAAATGTTTGCTGATGAACCTTCAGGCTCATGAAGCCCATGTGCAACCCCAGCTGATTTCACTGAAACCGTGCTGGCAAAGGGGAGGGCAAAATAAGGTCCTGGAAATAATGCTCAGTTTAATGTAACTGGGAGGCTCCTGCCTGAGAGAGATTGCCATGAGATGCAGAAACCCATGGCAGAAAAGAAATTGCACAATGCATGATTCAAATACAAGCAGATCCTATATGGAAAAAATATATCAGCACCCTCCAGGTTGTGTTTCTCCTGGTGTCTGGTCAGACTGGCACCAATTCTGAAGTGAGACATGTTTTTTTATAAACTATTAATGGTCAAAGTAAGGGTGAAACACATTCTCTTTTTTGATAGTTTTGCCCTGTGGAAGTAAATATGCAGTAGGATAAGCAAACTGGCTATTAATTTAAAACCTCGAGAGCAGGGAAGTTCAGTTGCTGAGAGAGAGAAGCCCAGTGACAAATGATGGCAAACCAGGGCACTGAGGTGGCTCTTGCTATTCACTAGCAGAGAAATGGGATGTGGGCTTGGAGACAAAACAAAGAAAAAGGAATGGACCTTGAGGGTTTTGCAATACCAAAATTGTACAGGGGTTTAGGGTAAAGCTTTGTCTCTGAGGGCTGGGCGTGTGTGGTGTTTAATGCAGTGAGAAGAGGAAATAGTGTGGCACAAACCAGTAAAAAGATGCCAGAAAGAACTCAGATTAGTTGCTGCAGCACTGGAACTGCAGCGATTTCTAGTCAGCCTTGGTACATCCCTTGGACAAAGCAAGATAGTCTCAAAATTGTTGATAAAATGGTAGAGGAGCAGTTCTGAATTGAGCACAGGTCTGAGTGAGTGACAGCCAGTACAACTGGTGCTGTCTGGTGAGGGGAATGGTGATGAAACATCTGGAGAAAAAAGAAAACAAGTGAAGGGGGAGGGAGCCCCAGGCTGCCCGAGGGAGTGACTTGTGATTCCAAAAGCCAATTTTTGTTCCTTGGTACTTAAAATGACGATTGACTTTCACCAAAAACCCAGTAGAAACAACGGAGTGACTCAAACCCTGCACTGAACTGTGTCCCTGCCACTCCTGCTCTAATTACTTAGAGCACAAGCTGGACAATGAACATGGCTTTACTGCTGATCCACACTTGGTCCAAGCATAACTGAAAATGTACTGACTGTCAAACAGAGGCTGCAGAAAGTAAAGGGCAACTAGATTTTCTTTGGGTGTTTTTTTCACTTTTTTGGTTGTCAGCTTGAAAACTGGCTGGGTTTTGGTTTTTTGTTCTTTTATTTATTTATTTTTAATTCCAGTGCATGTTTTGTACTTTAT